TTAGGGGGCCATGTCGGGCTAGTGTACGTAGTATATGTTTGGAGAAAATGTGGAAACTGTGATTCAACTTTTTTCTTTGTTACTTTGCCTTGTTAGGGGAGAATTCTTTTTATTTTTTTATTTATCTTTTGTTTTTTGTCATTGTGTGTAATGATAATACCCGTACGGTACAGTTTACACAGTATGGTGCAGCAGCTAGTTTTTCATTTCCAACGGATTCGCTCAGATTGCACGATTCTAGTTCCTGTCAGCAGGGTGACGGGCGCTGGACTGAGTCACTGATCTCACATATTCTTTGCATGTCCGTGTGTCATCGCTTTACAAGTGATCAGACCGAATGTTCTCAGTCTGACTCAAGATATCATTAAGAAAATATGTGAGTGTACTGTGAGTGGACTGTATGTGTATGTTTTACTTATGATTGCATAGGCATTTTATGTATGTTTACATACAGTATGTATGGACTTCATGCATGTTTGTGTGTTTACCATTCGAATTATTTTCTCATTTTGGTTTTTTATTATAATTTTTAGTCTTTATCATTTGTTGTTTCTGTGACATTCTGGTTTTTTTAAAGAACTAGTCAACATTTAGAGAGGGAGAGAGAGAGAGAGAGAGAGAGAGAGAGAGAGAGAGAGAGAGAGAGAGAGAGAGATTACAAATTTTCAGTAAAACCAAGAGATTCATGATTGTCTTATATTTCTGTTTTTTATTATAATTTTTAGTCTTTATCATTCGTCTGTTTCTGTCTGTTTGGCATTGTTCTTTTTATAATTTCCTTAGAATTGCGATGGCTGCCAGTGTTGCTAAGAAGCGGAAGTAAATGATGAATACATTAACTACGGAATTACATCAATCCTCGCTGATGGCATCGAGAAACCTCAGTGTGTGTTGTGTTTCAAAGTGCTGGAGAACGATACCATGAAGCCGAGTAAGCTGAAGCATCATCTGACGACAATCCACCCCCCAGTATAAGGAGAGAGACACCGATTTCCTCAAGCGCCATGAACGGAGTTTGGGAAAACAAAGAGTGGATGAGAGTGGTGCCTTCCAACAACCGATCTTAAGTGTAGTTGAGACATCATATGAGGTTTCCATTGAAATAGCAAAGAAGAAGAAGGCCCACACGATTGGTGAAACTTTAATTAAGCCGTGTTCCTTAAAGATGGTCAAGCGGGTTCTTGGAGAGGCAAGTCAACGTAAGATTCAGCAGGTTTCCTTGTCAGTCTACACGGTGAAACGGAGAATTAGTGAAATGTCAGATGATATCATGGAACAAGTGATACAGGAGATTAAATCATCTCCAACTGGTATGTTTGCAATACAGTTGGATGAGTCAACGGGTGTGAGTTCTTGTGCACAGCTACTCGTGTTTGTTAGGTATGTATTCTTGAGTGACATCAAGGATGAATATCTGTTCTGTACACAGCTTGAAACTACCACAACAGCTTTAGATGTGATGGGAAAGTTGACTTATTTCTTTACAGCTAACAGGATCACCTGGAAAAATTTGTTGTGGAGGCTGTACTGATGGGGCTCCGGCGATGCTGGGATCGAAATCGGGATTACAGAAACACGTCAAGGAAGTAGCTCCGAGTGCCAAAGGGATTCATTGTATGATCCATCGTTTTGCACTGGCGGCGAAAACCTTTCCTGATGCCCTTTGCAAGATCCTGGAGGTAGTGGTAAAATGCGTCAACTTTGTGAAAACAGGAGATTTGAACTCTCGCCTTTTCCAGAACCTTTGTAGAGGCATGGATTCAGAGCATGAAACCCTCCTCTTTTACTACAAAGTGCGAAGGCCTTCCACCGGTAATGTTGTGTTCGAACTTCGGGGAGAACTTAAGTTGTTCCTGGAAATGAAAGGGAAGGATGATCTACTAAGTCACTTCAACGAGGTGTCGTGGGAGCCACGTCTTGCGTACCTGGCAGACACATTTGAGCAGCTAAACAGGCTGAATCTCAAGCTGCACGGCAAGGAAATAAATGTATTTCACCACATGGATTGTATTCGTACATTTTTTGACAAACTCCAGAACTGGCAAAGGAAAGTCAGTGCAGGAAATGTTGCCATGTTTGAAAATATCTCAATTGTTCTTGACGAGATTGTAGAGGATCATCTACTTGACCCATCACTCAAAAATGAAATAATTCAGCACTTGAAATCCTTGGAAAGTGAGCTCAAAAGGAACTTCCCAGTGGCCCAAGGTTAAAAATGCTTTGAAAACCTTTGATCTAGATGTATGATAGTTATTTAGTGGGTCCCTTATTTTTGGCCTGACCTCACTAGTCACGTCACCCCCCTTCTCTTAAGCTCCTCTACGTGTGTGTTGGTGTGGGGATTAGTGGATGACATCATTATGACCTGACCTCATGTTTTTAAGGTCACCCTGTATATTTAAGCCTCTCTCTGTACATGTAATCCAGTTGCTTCTGAAGATGTCTTGAATAAAGACGAAAGCTAAGGTGCTCCGTTGTTTCACTTTTCCCGTGTGATTTTATATAGCCTATATATATATATATATATATATATATATATATATATATATATATATATATATATATATATATATATATATATATATATATATATATATACTTCATTTTTAGTCCATATAACACGCGGACTTTGAACATATAATGAACGACCTCACCTTGCTGGTGAGGTCGTTCATTATATATATATATATATATATATATATATATATATATATATATATATATATATATATATATATATATATATATATATATATATATATATATATATATATATATATATATATATATATATATCCGAAATTATTACATAAACAACGGAGTTGCAAAATAACCCAAATTAGCCTGTCAGGCTGTGTTGCCTTGACCAGTAACGTAGACTATTCACTACTTTTAATTGTTGCTTCTATACTGCAGCAACTAAAAGTATATTTAACATTTCTTTCGAATTAAGAGAAGGAGATTCACGTTAATTAGAGGAGTGAAATTGGCGAATCGTGTGCCCAGAGGTGCCAAATTTCTTAGCAAAATCAGTGCCAAAAAATATTGTCATTTCTAAGTTAACTATGATTCTTAAACTTAAAAATATAATTAATATAAAATGGGAAATAATAAAGAAATTTTCATTGTATGGAAAGTTTGGAGTAATAGTTTCAAGATAAAGCAACAAATTCCAAGTCCAGGTAGTGGCTCCATTATTTGACCTTACATTATGGTGAGCTTAAACTGATCATGGGAATGCTACAAGGTAAGACGAGAATTGGTTCGAGACCTTGTGACATACTTGCCGGACAGGCTACAGGCCGTCAATTAAAGGAAGGCAGCTGGACTGAATTCTGAATGAATAATTTTCGTAACAACATGCATTATGCATAGTTTTTATAACATAAAGAATAGATTGATTGAATCATTGTTTTACCTTTCCTTAACTGCAATATTTACTAAGGTATTGATTGAGTCTATATAACATTAGCTATGCAATATTTATGGTTACCTATCCGAGCATAAATAATAATAAAATAAGGTCATACTTATTTTACTTTATTTTTCCACCGTCCCCAATCAATTTCATTGTGACCCACCTCTTGTTGTAACACACTTTTATATTAATTGTGTCGCTCATATGGCAGCTATACTCCCATCGTGTTATCCATTGTTGGGATCAACCTGAGGATCCATGCAGTAGACCCTATGATAAGGTCATTATGATGGAGGGTTATAAAGCATTCTCTTATGAATCATATTATTCCCCACATTCATGCTTAATACAGTATACTGATTACCATTTTCAAGGAAAATACAGCTTGGAGAATTCTGATGTTATCTTTATGAACACCAGCCACCAAGACACACTATACTCTCCACTGCGTCTTCCGCATTATAAAGATTATTTAATGATTATGTAATAATGATCTAACCTACAGTACTGTATTATGACAAAAATATTAAACTTGATTGGGAAAATTGTTTAGTGAATATATTAAACAAAACAATGACATCCTTTCCCAGTCCTTATTGAGAAACGGAAGTAAATTAAAGGTCGAGTTTTGAACTGCTTGGGTGCTTGTTTTTGTGTTGGGGACGATGATCAGACAGTGGAGCCCCTGTCCAGTAAGGATGAGCGAACAATGCACCTTCCACCTTGACTGTATCACGAACTTCGGTCCGGGGGACTGTACTACTTAATGTCTTTTTTTTGTATATCCGAGTATGGCTGCTGTATTTTCCAATGAACCAATTATTATTATTAATATTATTATTATTATTATTAGTTAAAATATGACGGCAACTAAAATGTGGTGGAAAATTAACTCATGATATCAGAATCCAGAATAAACCTTGAGCAAATCATGGTCAGGGGAGAGTTAACAAGTGTTATTAAATATATTAACTCGACAACTTGATCACGTCCACATTTAAAGTTTCTCCAATGGGAACCTAATGCAATGGGAAACTATCTGATAGTATTCACGTTTTTGAAGAGCGAAATTTATAAATTAAAGGGCAAAATAACCATTCCGTCCACAGCCAATATCAATTTCAGTTTATGATATTAAAACTTAATCACATTAGCAGCTTAAGAGTCAGTTGGCAGGTATCGGAAACGCACCAGCTCCTGAATGTGTCTGTGTTTATGAAGCCTAAATTTAAGAGTTCACATTTACTGCTCTCATTACATTCGCTAGTAACTGTTTCATATGCTAACTACTCTTGAACTCCAAATAATCCGTAGTCATAACTTTGAGTCGAGATAAAGAAACAAACGGACGAAGATACATACAAATTTCGATTAATTATACATTAAATATTGACGGCGCTAAGGACTGCAGGAGTAATTTACAGCGCCTAATGTTCCTCTCTCCATTTGTATTGACAAGCTGGTGGAAGCTAAGACGTTAGAGGTGTCTCCGTCTTCTGTTTACTATTTGTGGTGTGAGGGATACAAAAATATATGTATATACTTTAAGACGAACACAAACACAAGAAAAATGTGTACTAGCCTCATAGTTCTCATTGAGTGCAGTTTGATCAAAGATTACATTGTTCCAGGACTTGGGCAGGAGGATTTTGATACGTCTGAAGAAAGCTCTCCTGCGGGTGGCTTTGAAGAGGTCATCTGAAGCTTTTGTCAACGTCTCCTGTTGAAGAAAGTGAACAGTTTATCTCTAGAAAGATAAAAAAAAACAGCTTTCAACTACTTAAACAACTTCTTAAGGGTCGGTCATACCAAGTGTTCAGAGGCAGAACGATATTGTCTTTGGAATGTGATAATAATAATAATAATAATAATAATAATAATAATAATAATAATAATAATAGTAATAATAATAATAATAATAATAATAATAATAAACGGTTTATTGGTAGAATATGGCAGCCAAAAGACAGAATATACTGTCATGCCATGTATTGCAATGTTGCACTGGAGAGCCAAATGGCACAAAGAGTTGCTTAAAATGCTTATGGGTTCAGTTGAAATTCGATAAAGCCCTCATTAATTAGGTGTAGCGTTGGTTTAAGGTTTTGTGAAATGATATAACATTTTAATAGTTTAATGGTTAAAATGTATTTTACAATATGGAATATGGACATGGGATTGGTTAACTTAGTACAGGGTTGGCCAACCTTTTGTGTGATGTGATCTACCTTTTCCACGGTTACCCTGATGTGATCTACCAGCCTACTATTCACCCATAACTCCCACCCCTCCCCTCCCCCTTCCAATACCATAAAATACGCAGATTCGTAGAGAGAGAGAGAGAGAGAGAGAGTTATTTGTCAATAACTGTTATGATATATTGTTAACATGACAAAAGCATACACTTACTTTACTAATGAGATGGTTGGCACTGCATGTTGTCTGCCAGTTTTGTGTAACTAGGACTGGAGGCGGTGACTGCTATCTTCAAGTAAGCCTCCAGGTGTTCATCTGACATTGTTGATCGGTATTTGATGTGTTTCATGTGTGAAAATGTTGATCACAAAGGAAGGTTGATCCAAAAAATGCTGCTAGGCACATGGCACATTTTCTGACATTGGGATATATTTCTTCACTGAGAAGGTTCCAGAAACTTCCTCTTGCCCTGGATTTGATCTGAATGTCATTTTGAATTTTTAGAAGCTCATGTTCGACTTCAGAAATGTCCATGTTAAATACTGATGCCATTCTAGATGCAACATGTTCAACATTTGTGTCTTTACCAAACATAAAACACATATATGTTATAACAGGTTCTATTGTTGCTATATCTTGAGACCGTCTGTCTAAAGCTGAGGCAAGGTATTGCACCTGTTCACTATATATCAAGCATTGTCAAACTGGTCACAGTCTTTTCCTTGGTTGTCTAGTTCAAACATCACATTTATGAAGTTTCGTAGTTGATGTTGATGCAACTGCGGAGACACTAGTTTTAGTTCCTGTTTGAAAGCAGCCACAGCACTATTCAAGTCAACTATAGTTTTATCTTTCCCTTCCAGATCTAAGGTTAGTTTATGCAGCATAGCAGTCATGTCAACTTAAAAAGCTAAATCTTCGTTGCGATCAGAAGGCCGATCTTTAGAAGCCAAAAACGAAGTTAAGAAACCTATCATCACTCCTGCACAGGACAATGAACCCACAGATTCGGCCAGCCATTACAGGTGCTCCATCAATTGTTATAGATACAAGCTTACTCACTGGCAACTGTGTACTATTAACAAAATCACTGAAAGTCTGAAATATGTCTTCATCCCGTTTTCCTTTTATTGGTAGAATTTTCAGCAGTTGTTCTTTGGTAATCATGTCTTTAAACACCATTGTAATGAAAATGCATAATTGTGATGTATCGAGCACATCAGTAGACTCATCAAATTGTAATGAAAACAACACACACTCATGTATGTCTTTATTCAGTTGTTCACACAAATCCTCAGCCATAAATTTACAGCGCCTCATGACAGTGTTTCTTGATAACTGAACATCCTTAATAGAAGACAGTGTTTCAGACTTATTTTTGAAATTTTCAATCAACGAATCTGCTGCTTCTAAAAAGACCTCTTTGAATATTTCTTCATCTTGAAATTATTTTTTTATGCTTTGTAAGTACTCGACTCACCCTGAATGATGCAATGGTTGCTACCCTTGATTTGGAACTCGCGCCGGTAAAAAGAGTTTGTTGTCCAGTAAACTGTGATTTCAGTTCAGGAGCTTTCCTCTTTCTTAGCTCACTTTTGGGTGGGAAATCATGATCATGCTTATTGTGAAAACTTTTGAAACGCCTTTCAAGAATTTTTTCTTAGCTAGAGGTGGCGACGCATGGCAGATCAGACACACACTCACTTCAAATTATTCCTGGTAAAAAAAAATATTCTTCCTCCCATTCCCATTGTGAAAATGGTAAATTTTGGTCTTATTAGTACTTAGTCCAGAACTAATTTTTGGTTCAGTTGATGGCCAATAACCTGTAATTGGAAAAGAAAAAGTCGTACGTGAAGACGGGAATTACTTTTTTCCATGACTTTTCCGACGTGAATATAATTACTAACCGTAACAGCGTAACGTTCTTAACTTTTTTTTCATAATCAATTGTCGCAAGCTAGTGTGGACACTTCTGTCCACTCTTGGGTTGCGGCAAGAAATGTTGCTAAGCTAAAAAGTCAGTAATTCTCGTAATCATCCAAGACTGTTCCATAACAAAAGACAGCACCTCACACTTCCAAGTATTGCAGATGACTGAAAATTACTGTATTGTTGGTGACAAGTGTGTAGGCTCGTAGGGACAGGGTTGTCAAATATGATTCTCTCTCTAAACTTTTGACAAGACTCCTCAATACTGAGTCGAGTTTTACATTACCAAATTCATTAATATAAGGTTTAACGTATATCTGTAAACTTATAAAAGTAAATACTTGTTTACTTTTAGCCTACAATTGATGAAAACTTGCTGATCAGTTTCCTCACCAACCAGCCAGCACCCGACCTTTTGAACGTGAACACTCCTTATAAGGTTCCACTACATACAGCACGGATCAGTCGAAATTTCTTGTGTGTATCGTTCTGATGTGTCTATAATGAAAATCTATTCCCAGAAAAATCTAAACAAAAATAATATCCCAATGATTATGAGTAAATTTGAATATGATTTTTTTATGGCAGCTGGTCATTAAGTTTAACTCTGCCATGCGATCGACTAGAGAAGGGCTTGCGATTAACGGGTTGGCCACCCCTGGTTTAATATAACAGTATTTTTAAGTTTCTGGAAGCATAGGTAACAAACCACAAATGTAGCAAGTTCGTTGACTGTTTCAGGAGGGTTAGGGTTGACATTTCAAGAATTCACATTACACATAATGAATTCAGGTAATTTATTGTGAATTATAATGTCAGTGTGGCACTTTGTATGACAATGATCAATTAATATAAACTAAACTCGTGTACAGTACAGTACATCATAATCTGGACAACGAATATTCAAAGATCCTGGTTCATCTCTTCAAACAAAACTAGTCACAACAATCTAATCCTTAAGCTCTCAACACACATAATAACACAATTACACAACCAATGGTTACCTAATCTAATCACTAGAGCACTACTGATTTACAAAACATGAGTAAGTGGTTACCAAGTTTAACAAATGTATGTCTGCCTTGATGGAAGTCCGGGCAGTGTCTGACTCCTCAGTCCTCACCTGCAGCCCGAATGAGAGATCACAAACCCACCACTGCTTAGTGTGGAACTTAATTTGGCTCGTCCTCTACACAAGTCTCAACCTTTTTTAACACACTTGTCCTAATGCATCACATTAAATAGAACAATATCACAAACAATAATATAATATAGCAACAACATCAGATACAATATCATCTTATGTCAGTAAATTTTACCTTCAAAAACATTAAGAAATGCTAACATTAAACCCAACCACCAGATCGAGTGCGCATACCAACACATACGTAGGTAATCACTCAACTACTTGTAACAATACAGTTAAATGATTGGGGAATAGGTTTCTTGATTGACAAATAATATACAAGTAACATAAGTGATTCAAATATTATAAAGGGGGGGGGGTGTGTCTAACAACAGGGAATAGCAACAAAGTAACACTGCAAAAGTAAGATTGGCAGGGAGTGAACATAATGCTTAAACATGAGTTGTTGATAAATTTTACAATGGTTACGATTGGGCTGTTCTTACAGCGATCAGCACGTGCTGATAGGGGATGGATGGGGTAGTGGTGTTGTAGTGGACGTCTCCCCTACAAACTGCGTAGCAGCCCACCACCTGCTATCACATTCCAAAGTGCCGTTGCCTAGCAACGAAACTATTCACCGGCGACTTCTCGGGTTTTCCCAACATGACTCATAGCGGCTGCTGGGTATATATGCTCAGTCTCTCCATTGAGACACATTCCGGCCTCACTTCTACAACAAGCAACACCTCCTCCTCCGCCGCTGCCTGGCGGCCCCTCGCTTCTCCTCGCCTGCCTGGCGGTCCTCGCTCCCGCCAGCGAGCATGTCCTTCTCTGAGCTTCCTCACCAACCAACTCTTATTCTGGCCCATCTTCCTGAACACGCAACACCTCCTCCAGCAAGCTCCTAGCTATCCAGCATTCATTCAACCAGGAGGCCAGCAACAGGCAACATCTTCTCTAACGAAGCTCCTGCACATCTACCTCCTTCAACACGCTACTCACCTTCGAACGTCTTCTACTGAGCAGCTCCCCACCACACGGCATCTCCAGCACCAGACTGTCTTCATATAACTTATATATTATACAAGAAAACCACATTAGAGTTTCCTTCCATCCTGAGTGCTAGACAACATTAATATCTCGATACCCCTACAGTGTCGAACAGCAATTTGCGGAAGAGGGAACTCAGGTGGAAGCAGGAGCTAGTGTGGAGGATATTACAGAAGCTTTTCCCAAAAATTTGCAGATGATGATAAGAGAGAGCCGAGAGGGTCAGTGTGTTGAGTGCTATTTGATAAGTGGAGTACGACGGGGAGAGTATAAACTTGCATTTCCTCTTTTGCACTTTTTCTAGGTGTTTACGTTGTGTGACAATAAGGGAGGAAAACCAGGCAGGGGAGGTAAACGTGAGTTTGGGAAGTAAGAATGTTGAGTAAACACTGGGGAGCTCAGGCGGAGGAACT